TTGAAATCTACATTTAGAAATCATGCAGTCTTCAATAGGGTTAAACCGATTTTCAAGCGAAATGATAAGGAAAGATTCCACTGTGTTTGTAAGGAAGGTTTTCCGTGGAAGTTGTGGGCATCTAATCTACAGGGTCAAGACACCATCCAAATAAAAGCGTATTACCCTAACCATACTTGCTTGAAGGTGCATAAGAATAAGTACATTACTTTTAAGTGGCTTGCCGATTATTACTTAGAGGATTTTAGAGCTGATCTTGTATGGAAGACGAAACATTTTAGAAGTAGGGTGAGAACAGATTTGGGAGTTCATATTATGAGGACAGTTGCATGGAATACTAGGAAATATGCCAAAGTTCTAATAGAAGGGAATGACGCTGGACAATTTGCATTGCTAGATTGTTATGCCGATGAATTGAGGAGAACAAATCGTGGATCTACTGTGATCATTTCACGAGTGGAAAATGTGTTCAAGGGTATCTATGTTTGCATATATGCATGTAAGTGGGGTTTTATTCAAGGGTGTAGGCGTTTTGTTGGTATAGATGGATGTTTTCTAAAAGGAAAATTCGGAGGTCAACTTTTAGCAACAGTTGGGGTAGACGCTAACGATTGTACATATCCAATTGCTTATGCGGTTGTTGAGAAAGAGAATACTAGTACCTGACGATGGTTTCTGATATTGTTGTCTGAGGATCTAGCAATGGAGAATGGGATGTCCATTACCTTCATGAGTGATAGACAGAAAGGACTAAAAAATGTTGTGGCAGAATTATTTCCGGAAGCAGAACACAGGTTTTATGTTAGGCATATGTACCATTATTTTTTTACAGATATTTTCAAGGGTAAACAGTTGAAAGATTATTTGTGGAGTGCAGCAAAGTCAAGCCACTTGGATCATTCAAGTATTGGATGGAGAAGATTGAAAACGTAAACAAAGAGGCACATGGATGGTTGATGGAAAGACCCCCCAAATGAATGGAGTAGATCTCACTTCTCGGAACAGTTGATGTGTGAAATGCTTCTTAATAACCTATGTGAGGTCTTCAACAACTTCATTTTGGAAGACAGAGAGAAATCCATTCTCACAATGTTGATTGGGATTCAAAACAAATTGATGCACCGAATCTAAGTTAGATGGGTTAAGCTAAGAAAATATAACAACCTCATATGCCCCAAAATAAAAAAAAAATTAGAGAAGTATAGGGATCCAGCCCGTGAATGTTTATTGCGATGGGATGGGGTTCATCAATACCAAGTTGAGTGTGGGTATGGGGAGTTTGTAGTTGATATGGAGAATCGAAGATGTGCATGTAGAAGATGGCAGATTTCTGAGATTCCTTGTCCACATGAGATCGCTTGCATCTTGGATAGAGGTCATGACATACAAGGTTACGTTTTGGAATGGTTTTTGGTTGAAACATATATGTGGACATACGAACATGTAATACATCCCATCAATGGTCACGATTTGTGGCCTCGAACTGGAGGAGTTGTTGTGCTTCCTCCACCATGGTATGAAGCAAAGAAGGGAAAAACGAAAAAGAAAAGACGAAAGGGATCCGAAGAAACTGCAGCTTCTCAATCACAATCACAAGTTCATACAAGTAAGAAGGGGATAGTGTTTATGACATGTTCTGTATGCAAGGAGAAGGGTCATAACAAACGTTACATAATGCGAAGACATTGACAGGAGTTGACACAAGCGGAGGCGACGTTGAGGGTCAAACACTTGGAGACAGTTGGCAAAGTCTGAGTTTCAAGTGGGGTTTTTGAATGCAGCCAGTTCTGGGATTCATTGGGGCAATCCACTCTAGTTATTTTGTACACCAATATTTAGTGTAGGCAGTGTAGTGATGTTAGATGATTGGAAGTTTTTGTTAATGTGGTTAGTGCATACCAGTTTTTTGATGTGCACACTAACTTTTGTTTTGTGGGTTCTGAAGTACTCATAAAAATTTGTTTTATTTTCCCAATGGTTGTATGAAGTATATAAATAATGACATGAATGATTTGGTGTAATTTTCCCTTGGTTGTCATATAGCTTTACTCTTTAATAATTGGTCTCACATGGTGACTTAACAACATTTCAACATGAAGCTTCAATAAAGTATAACAACTTCAAATAGTTATAACATAAACAGAATGTTAATGGAAATACTCACAATACACCCAATAATGTCAAAATGAGATCAATTATCCAATTACCAAACATAAAACACACCACTAAACAAGCTCCTGTGGCTACAATATAAACATCGGTGTACAAAAAAAAAAACTAAACTACATCACTACATTTCCTGCTCTGAACATTTAGCATCACTACAAAAAAAAACAACTCTCAAATCATCTAGCATCACTACAAGGCTGTCTTCCAAGCCAATATTACTGGGACCTTGGGGGATCACCAATTATCCATGGCTACAATTATCAACCAATTCTAATGCCGGGTTTACTGCTTCAACTTGATTAGATCAATCAAAAGATAGTCTGGACACCGATGAAGGTTTGTCCAACTTCACATGCTCCAAAGTAGCTTCAATACAAATTATTCTCTCTGTGGATTTATTTGTTCGATCTCCAGGCAACACAAATGATACCCATTCTCATCAGGCGCCATCCAACGATTAGCATTAGAATTTACATCATCTCGCGACATCCAATCTGCCTTTTGTTTACCCTCAGAAGTAACACTTTTGGCATTTTCTTTCACAGTAGATTTCATTAAATGATCTTCCCCCTCCAGATGGTCATCACAGGCTGAAGCCTCTTGGACATTGGACAAATTCGGCTCTTCCCCCAATCCAGGAATGCAAGGGGCATGAGCATATTCAACAATATCAACCTGCACATGAAAATATTATCTTCACTTGATAGAAATTTGAGTTTTCTGGTGGACATATCCACTTGTGGTACTATGAATCGAACTAGCAAACAACAAATGTATCTTTATACCTTTTTGAACAACATACATGAATATAATGTATATCAAAATCAAATGAAATTAAATGTAGACTAAAGCCTGAAAACATAATCTTAGAGCTTCAAGTAGCTACCATGGTTTCTGAATTCGTCCACTCTTGAGGATGCCCATCTAGCTTGAGAGGAGTCAACCGTAGAGGCCTGAGGATCACCACCGGAATAAGAGAAACTACAATTTCAGCCAAGAAACCCCTATTCCCTTCATTGCTTTTGTGATTCGGCCTGATTTATTTTGGGGCTACGTTCAGGTCGAATCGTGGTGGGGGTACCTTTGAATCAGTATCTAGGGATTTTATGGGGGGGATCGTGGTGTGATTTGGGGGAGAAATGTGGGAGAAGGGTTCGTGGGTTTGGACAGATTTGGGGGATGATTTGGGGCTCACATTGGGAGAGAGAGACGGGTTTATTGTGGAGTGAGTTTTTTTTTAAACGTGTTTCAAAAGATGGAAATGTCACGTGTATAGCAATTTTGACGAGCTGGCTAAATTGAAGGAGTAGTCTCGCCACGTAAGCTGCCACGTGGAAATTTCATCAAATTTTTCAACGGACGTTAGCTCGGTGACTGCTGGGATGATTAATTGTAAAATTCAGTGAGTAATTGCGTTATTTTGAAAGTTCAGTGACCCCTTGCGTGTATGACTGAAAGTTCAGTGATTAAATTGACAATTCACTCATATAAGACATTTTAAACTGAATAACAAGAGTCAATAGAATTTATATTCTATCCGAAATCTCAAATTACAAAGCATTGATTGATAAAATGAGATATTTTGGAATTTTTAAGGCAAAATTTCCTTTTCATTTTGTGCTCCTCCTTAACCAACTAAAATTTTGATGAATTTTAATAAAATGTTATAAATCGTAATGAATTTAAATAAATTTCCACAAATTCCATAAAAAATCTCATCAAATATGGTGAAATTTCAAAAGATTTGGTTACATGTAATTTCAAGTTTGAAATCCATCCAAATCTTCTAAAATCCCTCCATTAATGAAATGTTTTTAAATCTACTAATTATTAATGATGCTTAAATTTTAAAGGATTTCATTCAAATGATACCTAAATTTTAATGATTTCATTAAAATCCATTAAAATTTCAATTGAAAACACTTTCTAATTATTGGAAAGTAAAACAAGAATTGACTAAAATCCATTAAAATTTCAATTGAAAACACATTCTAATTATTGAAAAGTAAAACAGAATTGACCAAGACTATCGACAAAATATCCCACTATTATATATGAGCTGAATATGGTTCCCGTCTTGCTTCCAAGAAATCCTCGATGGTGTGGAAATGCAGTCCAACCCCAATATATGGTTAAAATCTCGAGTTCATTTTATTCGACGCTCTATCGTCCTTTCTAAAATTGATGTGAGCATTGGTCCCACCTACGCATTTACCATCCCTAAAGTTAACTTCTTGTCTTGTTCCACCAAAAGCATATACAATCCCACTTCCACCCCGTCCCTAAGTTGACTTTGATAGGTGGTTAACCACTTATTCAACCAAAATTACCCATGTTTGGTTTCCATTAATTAAATAATTCATTTCTCTTTTTTTTAACGACGTATTCTTCAATAAAATAATATTACATATAAAGTCAAAATTTTTCATTCTTTTTTAATCATACATTCTTAAAGAAATCACTATTACAAAATACAGAATCCCCATAATTTACGTTATAATGGAGCTCAAACGTTACAGTATTCTAATTACCAAACACACCCCAATCCCTTCATACTCCATTCCGTTTTCCTACCAGCATCGTCATCATTCCCCTTCAAAGCACGTGCATCCTTTTTCTCCAGTCACGTGCTCCCTCCCCCTTCTCCAGCTTCGAATTCGACTCTTTCTCTCTCTGCTTTTCTTTCCCCACCGGCCACCCTCACCCCCACTTTCTATACAATATTTAAACATTTTCCCCCAAATTCAATTCGCACACAAATGGAACAAGAATCTTTGTAATTCAAATTCATTGTACAATCAAGATTCTCAATAGGATGTGAAGAAAGAGAGATGCATGCCTATAATCGGCTCCCGAATAGCGGACACAACAGCCCATCTTCGCCGCCTTCGTCGCCTGTTTCCCGTTCTCCCCGGCTGCGCAACCGATCCTCCGCCGCCGGCAGACCGGGTCGGGCCGTACCGAAAACTCTAGCCCAGCGACTCGCCTGGATCCTTCTTTCTGTCCTATTAAAACGCCAGGGCATTTTCTTATTCGCACCCCTTTTGTACATTTCGTTTATTCTGTTTTACATGGGAACGGTGTCGTTTGATGTGGTTCCGGTTATAAAGCATCGGCCGGCGCCCGGATCAGTATACCGGAGCCCCCAGCTCTATGCGAAGCTCCGGTCCGAAATGGACTCGGATAATTTCTCTGTTGATACGGTTAGTATCTTTTGAGAACAGAAATTCGAATACTTTGCTGTTTGTGAGTTTTGAATAATGTGATTTAAATTGAAAATGACTGACTATGTGCTTTTTGGTGATTTTGACTCTTGCCTATCATAGTACTAGTATAGCTGCATTAATTGTAATGCCTAGTAATTTTCAGTTAGTTGGACAATATAACATGCGGAATGTTTGGATGCCAAACTAGTATTATGTCAAAAGAAACTTGAATGTGAATGTTGTTGGTTCTTGAAAATTTAGTGCACCTTAGATCTAGAATGTCTGAAGTTAAAAAAATAAAAAACTGCTTTCTTATGGCCTTAGATTGATGGAGTTGATTTAAATGACAGCTATTGTATGTCATCTGCTTGGATTTAGTTGTGCAAATAGAAAATTATGATCTTAGATGCCCGAATTTTGACAATAACAGTACGTATCTTTCTGCACAGATTTTAGTTATAAATTTTGAGCATGGAGTAGAATGAGAAAGGTTGTTTTTTATAGCTATATTTCTTGCGCATTGGAAAAGATCATGATGTAGTTGTTCAGGGCTTTGTGTTTATTCCCCTCTCCCTTTCCTTGAAGAGCGTAGCTAATGAGGTTGGTGCACACATTTGTTGCCCGAGACTCAACTTGTTGATATTAGAGTTCAAGAAACACTGATGAAATTTGTTTAGCTGTTCTTGTGTTCTGGTCCTCTAACCTCTCTTGTTGCCATTATCAGTTAACAGGTTGAGTTGTTAATTAATTAAATTTATGCTTGGAAATTAACATTTTAAGGCTATTTTTATGTAACTTTGCTTCTATGAGGGTTGTAAAGGAATATCCCCTGGCTACCATCTATTATGAATTTTGTCTTATACAACCATGATTCGTTGCTTGCCTTTTGACACCTTGATGCAGATATTAGACTCAGAATTGGTTGAAGACAATTAGCACCTGTTTGACCCACATTATTTTTTTCATTTTCATTCTTCTACTCATTTTCAACCACACATTCTTCAATAAAATAATATTTTCCATTACATTAATAACTTTTCCTTCATTTTTAACCACATATTCCCCATCACATCACTTCAAAAAATGCATTCTCTCATTTTAATGTGCACCAAACAAGCTTTTAATATTGCACCTGAAAAACTGAATATACAAGCCAATTAAATCCCACTTTGGTTCTTTGTGGACCATTTCAAGCACCTGCAATTTCATTAATAATTGGACTCGTCGAAGTTCTTTGTGCATGCTTCATTGCTTGCTGAACATGGAGGCATGTTTGCTTAGTCTTGTGAAGAATGTGGATAATGTATTCTATTATAAAAAAATGTCACGATTTGAGTAAAACTTATCTTTCTATCAAATGCAGATTGATGACCAGATCCACATTTTCTCAATTAACTCATGGCTGTGATTGATTTAAAGCATATTACTCAAGACAAACATTCCCCCTTACCAAAATTAGTATTGTGGCTACATAATGAATCAGTTATAAGCTGCAAGTAGAAAAGTTGTATGCTTGCCTCGTTGAAGTGAAGATATATAGTCATCATCTGCTAAAGTCGATAGCTTTTCTAACCTTAATGTGATGTTTTATTGACTTGTGGCTTGTCTTTGAACTAGTATATCTTTTAAATTTTACATCTGTTCCCCTGGTTTGGTTCAAATTGTTTGACCGGTTATTCTAGCTTTGTATTTTCAACTTGAAATGCTTTGGTTGGAGATTATCCAAGATAATGCAGTGGACCTAAGTTTGCTTTTCTTTTTCTGCTGTTGGACAACCATAATAGTCTTGTCATTTTCACTTTCTTTCTGTATTTGGAATAATTATCATGTGATCTTTGTTTGCTTTTGTAAATGTTACCTCAAGTTGGAAAAGTGGCATTCGAGTCTATCACATACAGGAATGTGTTACTCCACTTGATTTACTTTACACTCATGCCTAGGAGGTCAAATAAAAATGGATGGCATATCTGATGGATACGCAAAAATAGAAATTAATGTGATATGAGAGAACTGATTCTATCTTTTACTGTTGATAGTTCACTGGATTGTAGTGCCATGTAATGGCTTATAATGCCTACCATCTTTCAGTGTTCTCCCATAACGAGATTCCTACAAGGGAGGGCCTCAACTTATTTTTAGTTTTTTAATATTTTGAGAAGCCCTCGTATGGCTCTGACTTTTGTATTTCAAACAGAAAAATAATAATAATGAACTGCATTTAAGATTTGATAAAAATATGTTGTCTATTGCTGAAAGATTATTGATAAATGGTTTCTCATGCGCTTTCTGCTATGGCTAATTTTGAATTTCATTCTAGATATCAACAATATGGAAACACTCCTATAAAGGGGGCGAATGGAGACCATGCACAAACAAGTCTTCAGGAGGTAGGAAAATTGCTCAATGCTTGCCAACTCCTTTTTACTTTTTCTTTTTTAAATTCTAGACTTAGGCCTATTAATTTTTCGTACTGAACAGCCTAACATAGTTTATATAAACAGCAATTGCAGGCTTGATATTTTGTGACCACTGTCGGCAGATTTTAGCAAACACTTATGATATGATATTTTCTTGATCTTTCATTAGTTTGTGTGGAATAAAATCCCCTGCATTTATTTCTCAGATTTTCTAATTCTATTTACTTTTTGTTATTTGTCTGACCTTTTCAAATCATAATCAGAAATAGAGTTACTGCTCATGTGATGAATATTTCTGTTTATGTGATCCGATTTGATTTTTTCCTCTTTTCCATGATGTTGCCACTGATCCTCATAATTAAAGTAAATTGGTAGCAGCCATGAACCCAGAAAATTCCTTGAATGGTTTTTGCTGTTTCGATTTCATTATATTCAAGTCCTTCACAGAATGTTGAATGTTGGATGGTTTAATTTACTTTGTTCTTGGATTTTGATTAATTTCTGGAAACTTATCATCAATAAATTGAACTCTCAGAAGCCACTATATCAAAAGTGTGGGTTTGCTAATTGATGAATATGAGCAGACTACGTGCGCAGGACTTGGGAGTATAGATTGCCGTTCTCATGCTCCATTAAAGATGCCATACCAATTAACTTCTAACACATCACTTGCTTTCAACTGCATTTCTGGGCTCCATAAATAATTAGTGCTTTTTTTTTGGAAGTTTTTAGATTGTTCACTTTGCTTTGGAGAATTTAACTGCCAATAACCCAAACTTTCTAATGTGTCATCAGTGGGCATCTAGTTATGAAATATATATATGTGCGTGCGTGCGCGCGCGCCTTTGGTTAGTGATTTTTATTTCTTCTAAATTATATGCATGGAACATACTGCCTATTGTGGATCCCACAGTAACCCAGCATGGTTTGCATTTAGCTACTGCAAATGCTAAGTAATGCTTTTTACTGATAGGCTTCCTTATTGTGTGGGAGTCTATACAATGATGCTAAAGTTATTGCGTTTATTATATTCTCTATTTCAACCTGAATATAGTTTGATGTTTCCATTCATATTATTTTTGTACACTATGCCATGGTTGTCCATGTTATATTGCAGTGCCCCGATTAATTTGTAACTCTTTTTTATGGACTGGTCATAGTCGTATTTGCGTTGCACTGTATTTTTAAATTCTTTTGTAAGCGTATGTTGAAAAGTTCACAAACAATGAAGACGGTAAAATGTTGAGGGAAAATAATTCGTAATACATACAAATTGCATGACATCAATATTCCTATGAAGATATTTTGTATCGAATTGTTGCTTAATTTTGATTTTGTTCTTAATTCTCTAGTCTTTTGTCCTGGAGTTTCTAAAAAAAGTAGCCCCTATTTGGCAACTATTAAGACAAAACTCTATTTTCTCAAACTTATTTTTAACCACACATTTTCACGATAAAATATTCTACCCGTAAGTCTAAAACTTTTTTCTACTTTTTAATCACACATTTTTCAAAAAAATTACTATTCCAAAACTCATTTTCTCCATAAACCTCATTTTAATGGTTGTCAAGTAGGGGCTTAGTTTCTTATACAATTTATGTGTATATTGAATTATTTTTCTGTTAGTGGTACAAACTCTGCACGGTGTTATTGATTGGTGTTTCATTAAATATGTAGTTATATCTAGCCCCTGTTTGGTATACATTAAAAATTTCATTCTCATTCTTCTACTCATTTTCAACCACACATTTTTCAATAAAATAATATTTTCCATCACATCAATAATTTTTCTTTTTTTTTCAACCACATATTCTCCATCACATCACTTCAAAAAAATGCATTATCTCATTTTAATGTGTACCAAACGGGTTTCGGAATCACTCCTTTTAATCCTATATCAATTTTTCACCACAATAAGATTGTCTAAGCCCCTGTTTGATCCTCCTTAAAATTTTCATTTTCATTCTTCTACTCATTTTCAATCACACATTTTTCAATAAAATAATATTTTTCATCACATCAATAATTTTTCTTTTTTTTTTCAACCACACATTCTCCATCAATCTACTATTTTAAAATACATTCTTCTAAAATAATGTGGCCCAAACACACCCCTATTCTATTTCAACTTGGACAATTCTCAATTTTTTGCACTTCCACACCATTTTTACAGGCCAAGAAATTGCCTAGTATGTTGAATAATGTGTATTTCCTTTTATTACTACTACAATTATTATTATTCCTTTTTCTTGTGTTTCCATTCAATGATCTTGTATAATTCTTGCTTATTTAACTTATATCTTGATGTATTTCAGATAATGTGCGCTTCTTTTTTATTAGTCTCTCGCTCTCTCCAAATCTGTGTAATTCAAGATTTTTTGGTATATAGTGATATTATGGGTGGTTCTTTTTTTATTTATTCTATATAATCATTTGTATTATATATCCAAATACTCACATTAATATTCTATAAACAGGCATTGAGTGGGTGGTGAAGTTTGAATGTAATAATTCAAATACATATGTATGTGGGTGAATGTATACGAGTACAAAAATATATAAACATTTACATTTAATTCGGAGTATTATGACTATATTGAGGGGAAATTAAGAAATTATTAAATATTAGTTTGGACATTGTTGTGCAAAAAATGATTCTCGTATCATATGACAATTACATTATGGATATGTGTCATCTATAGCTTTATTAAGTGTAGTTTAAGATCTTTCTCTGTTTTAGGTTTACCTGAGTCAAATGGATACATTTATGTTGAGGCGAATGGTGGTTTGAACCAGCAGAGAACATCGGTATGGTCAATGTTATTTGTTTTCTTCTTACAAAGTTTCTACTTCCGTAAATTTACAGCCTAAGCAATATCCCTGCTCTCTATTTGTTGTTTTTGCTTTAGATATGCAATGCTGTTGCTGTGGCAGGATATCTTAATGCTACACTTGTAATTCCCCATTTCCACTTTCACAGCATTTGGAGAGATCCAAGGTGCGTAGTATTATTATCACTTCTACTTGTGCAATGTGCATTAGTGGAAACAATGCATTTGTTTTTTAAAAAAGTGCAATCATAATGGAGATGAAAATATGTAGCATCTTTTGCTGTTGTTGTGTGTAAACAGGAAATGATGGCCATGGCCAGTCAGGTATCATTATAAAATGAGAACCATATTGATGAAATAGTGGGTCCCACTAGGCAACTAATGTGCATTTATTTGGCCAATGCCAAATAAACCTGTTTTGCTTCAATTTATTTCAATATGGGCTAAATGGAATTAACGTTTAACTTATAAATTGTTTTGGGTTGGTAATATAATCCAATCAATTATTTCCTTTTCATTTTGGTTGAAAATGACGTGGCACTGCTTATGCATGATCGCCACGAAATTTGTGGTGTATCACGTATCTCAAAAGTGAGTCTGGTTACTGTCACAGTGGCAAGACTTACTCTTCTGGATATTTTTGATTTTGAGATAGAAGTTTAAACCAATATTCAGTTGATGAGATGATGTCCTTGTCTTTTCCAAGATAGAATGTTTGATGGTAGTCGTATATGTGCAGCAAATTTGGTGATATTTATGATGAAGAGTTTTTTGTGAAAGCACTAGAAAATGATGTTCGGATAGTGGACAGAGTTCCAGGATACATTATGGAGCGATTTGACTACAATATGAGCAACGTGTACAACTTCAGGATAAAAGCATGGTCATCCATCAACTACTACAGGGATTCTGTTCTTCCGAAACTACTTGAAGAAAAGTGAGTAACTCTGGTTTTTGTGTCTTCTTTGCTACTCTTTTTCTTGATTCATGAATAAGATTCTAAGTGCAATATATTTTTCCACATATATGTGCTCGTATTTAAGACTTGCTTTTGATGTTGATGTTCTGATTTGTATGGAAGTAGTTAGTTGTCGTCAGAATATTTTAATAATTTCATACAGAATAGAACTAAATGTGTAGATTTTCTTTTCTTGATAGGCCATCATGGTTTTGAATATTTCTGCTATTTCACATTCTGAAAGTAGAAGTTTTTTCTTAATTCTATCCCTTATGACACTGCAATTCTCTCAGAATGAGTATAGTAGACTTGTAATGCTGACAATTCCATTCCTATTACATATTCTTTAGTCGTTATAACTTTTCCTTTTATATTATTCCTTTTACATAAGCATCTATTGGGATGAATCTGACTGGTTGGAATTGAAATAGGAACTAAAATTGTATAATTCATGGATGTCAAAAATGTTGGAGGACTTCGGATTCTAACATGGACCTTGACCTTCGGTGATAAGGCCTGGACTGGGCATTGTGTTAATGGATATTTTACTTGTGTGTTTTTTTTTTTTTTTCGCAGTATAATTTTTTGAAATAATTTACTTTATCAATCTGGAAAATTTTCTTTTACAATTGGTCTACACAGGATTATAAGGATTTCTCCTTTTGCAAATCGTCTTTCATTTGATGCACCCCCACCAGTTCAACGTCTAAGATGCTTGGCAAATTATCAAGCCCTACGGTTTTCAAGTTCCATTTCTTCTTTGGGCAATACCTTGGTTTCAAGAATGAAAGAACACAGTGCAAATAATAGTGGCAAGTATATTTCTGTGCATCTTCGCTTTGAGGAGGTTAGTTCATATGCTGTGGCACTTTATTTTGTATGATCAGCTTTGAAATCCAGGGCAATCATTTATCATCCTCTTGTATAGGACATGGTTGCTTTCTCGTGTTGTATATATGATGGTGGAGACGGAGAAAAAAGAGACATGGATGCTGCAAGGGAGAGAGGTTGGAAGGGGAAATTTACAAAACCTGGTCGGGTTATTCGCCCTGGAGCAATCAGGTTGAATGGGAAGTGTCCCTTAACACCCTTAGAGGTAATACCTTTTATGCTTTGATCACTTTCAATTTTCTTCCTTGTTATTTTTCTTCCGTGTGCTTTGTGTACGAAAGCACATGCCTTTTTATTTTTCTACGATTTTTAGCCTATTGGAAGATAACCAATAAAATTAGAGAAGCTAGAATAATGAAATTTTTATTCAAATGTTGAATGGAAATCTGGAGGTATTCTAATTTTTTCAACTGAGCAGAGTCTGTCAATATGGAATGTTTTCTATGTATATGGATTTTTCACAGAAATCTTTTAAGCAACTGCAGAATTTCTTATTTAGGATGAGGCCTTACAAGTAAAATAAGGAAGCCATTGACTGTCTTTTTCTGAACTGTTCCCAGTTTAGAGTTTTCCTGTCTTCCTCTTTCATACATACATAATTTGACTTAATAAAATATACGATCACTTGTGGAAGGAAACTTCCTCTGTTAAGCATATTAGGCTGTTCACTCTTATTGGGCTTATAAAAGAGTTGAAAGCTGGTATCTGATGGCATATATATGACTCAACTGGATAAATGCTATCCAAACTGTATGTGTGGATTAAGTATGTGATGCAGTAGCATATAACTTGTTAACTAATAATTGAAGATTAAGAAAAGAAAGGGGGTCCAAGAAGAGAAGAATTGAGGGCAAAGAGAAGTCAGCTTTAATTCATATAATCAGGTTGTCAATTACAATGAATAAGGCCTTCTATTTATAGAGCTAAACTAAAAGAGTTAAAAAGGAAACAAACTTCTAATAAACTGTAATTGTATCAACTGGTCTTATAAAATCTAATTGAAATTAAACTCTATTTTAACTTCTATTTAAACTATAACTATAACTCTATATCTTTATCTGTATCTTGATCTCCATCAATATGGTTACAATTGCATATTATTGGATTAAACATACGACTATTATAATGTGTGTGCTGGAAGTTCAGAACATACAACCATAAACAACTAAACTTAATCCCCGTTTTGGGCTTGGAAGATCAGAATAATGTTAGTGAAAGTACAATTTTGAATAATTGTGCAAAAAAGAATAGGTATTATAGCATTCAGTTACGTTGATCTATGAGATGCTAAAATATTTGTGCATTCACAGAATGAAATCATAAGTTGAAGTCAGTGTCTAAGAAAATAGATTGGATCAATAGCGTAAAATCCATTATAATATGAGGACGAAATATGATAATTACTGACTATAAACCTGAGGGTGCACAGATCAGTTGAGCTGCTGATTGTAACCATTGGAACAGACACGAAACTTAAGAATTTTCAAGAGATATTGTTCCACATCATATAAACCCACTGCTGCTTTCAGAGATGTGCGAAGGGACAGAGCTTATAAATGCCTATTCCGTTCTCCTGCTGAAGCTCCTTCTCAAGAGTTCAGACAGAAAGACAAACAGACAGACAGAAGAGAGTCTTTCTACTGAAAAAAGCCCATACCATGGGATTTTTTATGCGATTTATTCTGTTATGCCCTTTCCAAATTCACGAGATAAAATGCGAATCCATTGCAATTTAGTACACCAAAATTGACTGAATCCTCAGAGATGGATCTGTACAGTTTTATGAAATTACAAGATCACTAGTTCTTCAGAATCTGCCAACTGCCAAAACTCCATTAACTGGTGACGAACCTATATTATCTCAACCACATAGAGGGGATCCAAGTCAAATGTATTCTTTTTTAACCTTTTTTTGGGTAGACTGTTAATTCAGTTTTTGCTAGTTCCCAAGCTTTCATATCCAACATCTTGTCATTCATCACTAAGATTACTTGGGTGTGCATAACCTCTAGTCTTCGACTTTTCTCTCTCACATATCTGCTTTATGTCAATGCAGATTTCTGCAGTTTGAGCTTAATTCTGAACCCACTCTTGATCTTGATAATTCCAAAATTACTCTAGTAGATTCAATGACCTAAGATCTGCCAGAATTTGATATGTACATTTGATACACCTGAAAGTCACTTGAAATTGTTTGTTCTAATTCAATGTTTGGGAAACTATTAGTAACTTATAATTTACTTTTCAAAGTTAAACATTTTAACCAAACATTTTATAGGACCTACAACTACTATCCACTTATCCATCATTCATTTTTATCACATTATATTTTTACAACTTCCAATGTTATCCAAACACACTATATATCTGCTCACATGTGGTCTTTCCACTTTATTTAGCCTAGTTATGTAAATGATTTCATTTGCTAATCTATCTATATTTTTGTATCTTTTATTTATGACCTTCCATTGTGTCTTCAATTGATCAGGTCGGTTTGATGCTAAGAGGGATGGGGTTTGACAAAAGTACATCTATCTTTTTAGCATCAGGAAGGATATATGACTCTCAGAGGCATATGGCTCCACTGCTAGAAATGTTTCCTCTTTTACAAACAAAAGAGATGCTGGCATCTGCTGAGGAACTAGCTCCATTTCAGGTCTGAATGGGAGCTTTTCTTTCATTCTCGTGTATCTTTTCTTCCTGTTTTCCCCATTATTCTTTTCATGATCTTATTGAAACCATTTATGACTCAATTTACTGCTTTTAGAATTATTCCTCAAGAATGGCGGCCATAGACTATACTGTTTGTCTTCACAGTGAAGTATTTGTAACAACTCAAGGCGGAAATTTTCCCCATTTTCTTTTGGGTCACAGAAGATATCTGTATGGGGGACACTCCAGGACAATTAGGCCTGACAAGCGGAAGTTGGCATTATTATTTGACAATCCAAATATTGGGTATGCTTTTCTTCTCATCGCTCTGGTTTTACTTAGTTAACTACCTTTAGAAGATGGTATTACTGTTTGACAATCTAAATATTGGTTATATTTTTTATTCATCATTCTGGTTTCCAATGAATCAACATCTGTTAAAGCGGCTGTGCATGCAGTGACGTGGTGAGGAATATTTTAATCCCATGATCAGTATGAACGTGACTTATTCGCATTGTTATCTGACATTCCAAATAGCGGGCATATTGCTTTTATTTTTATTTTTTCTTAATGCTACTTTCACACGAGCTAACAATTGATTCGGTTATCCCATTCGTGTAGAATCTTGCTGGGATATTCTTGATAATTTGTGTAGGTCTCAGTTTTGTTTTCTCATTGTATGCTGATTGCAAAGGTTTGTCTTCATTAACAAAACATTGTTTATGAAGGGCAAACGATAAATCAATAAAAATAAATGGTCAAAATTAATTACTTAAACATATTTTTGAGTTTGAAAAATGAAATAACTTAAATACCATTCTAATTTAACAGTATTACAATCCTTATCAAAAAAAATTTAACAGTATTACAATCCCTGTCATTACTTCAATGGTATATTTTATTGAAATTTTTGACCACTAAGTTAAAATATTTAAAAATTCAATATGACTATTAAAAGAATATGTTTTAAACAATAAATTATTAATTAATCATGGTACTAAAATATTAAATTCAAATACTAATAAGTTAAGTAAAGTTATTCAATAACAATGGGTATGAAAATAGTAATTTGCAAAAATCTAAACTGTTAAGTTATTCAAATAATAAAACGTTAAATTAATAAAATTGACAGATAGTTAATCAAATTAGGTTTTAGTAGTTTAATAATTTACATTAAATTTGGCCATAATTAGTGTTGACCTCGAAATATGGCTCGGACACGTGGCCAACATGATAGGTATTCAAGTCAGCTCTTCCTGCACACGTAGCACGCCAATCTCTNGAGGAGACACGTGTTGCCGGATCTTCAAGGCTCGTCCCATCCTAGGTGTCACTCTGTCCCTCCATAGGTCGACTGGTATTAAATGTTTCTGACATATGCTGTTGATTTGACCGTCTGATGGCCTGCCACACGTCCCATCAGTTAGAGATTTGACTTTGGGAAGATCTTTGTACAAATGATCTTTGTTGAGGCGAGGTGTGGCGGGTGAAGCGTTGCAGCGTGGTAGAAGCGGAGTGCATGCCTTTGCATCCACTGCGTGCTTGTGGATGAGTCCGGTTCATTCGCTGACGCGTGTTCAGTTCGTTCCTCATGCATTCACCTCGGCGTGTCCAATCAGCTCGTCCCTCGTTCAATCACCTCGTTCGACACGTGGCTTGGGCCACGGGTGCGGACACGTGGTGGGCGAGGTGGCGGGTCTGACACAGGCCCGTAACAATTAGTTAACTATTAAATAAGTTAAATATTAAAAAACGTTCAAAATGTTTATCAAATTAACTAATTGTTAAATTAGGTCAAATGTACTACTAGTTAAAATTTATTTATGCTCAATTCAATTAAAACATGGTTGAAAATAGTAATGCCATAGTTCTTTAAGTCCCTATTTGGGCTACATTATTTTTTTCATTCTCATTCTTCTACTCATTTTCAACCAAACATTCTTCAATAAAATAATATTTTCCATCACATCAATAACTTTTCTTTTTTTTTCAACCACACATTCCCCATCAATTTACTATTCCAAAATACATTCTTTCAAAATAATGTGACTCAAACACACCCTAAATAATTTTGAGCATAGTATGTTTATAAGCGACCTTAACAAATTTTATTAGTAGCCAGTTTGCAAATCATACTGAGCTTTACTTTTTGGAAGTATAAATTCTAAAATGTGCTAATTTTATACTATTAGAATAATATAATTAAGTATAATTTTATTAAATTTTCTATGAACAGTAATATCGCATTGCTTTATGATGCAAAAGTATCGTAATGCCCTTTTCAGTCATATGACATTTAATTGTGCTATAAGAAACCATTTTGCTAGTGATACATAATTATAAACAACAATAACAACTAAGCGTTTTTGCTCAATAAACTTGTGGTACTAAATATAAACAACAATAACAACTAAGGGTCCGTTTCATTGCAAATGTGGAAAATGAGTGGAAAGAAAATGTTTTACAGGGAATTGATTTACCTAAAAATTATTTTACTGGAAATTGTGTTTGATTGGTATAATTTTTCATGGAAAATATTGAAAATTTGGTGTCCGTTTGGCTTCTTTTTTTATGAAAATTGTCCATTGAAGAGATAATTTTTTCTACCATTGGGTCTAAAATTTGTTCCAATTGTCAAAAAAAAAAAAATTGAAAAAAAAATTATCATACCGAATATCAATCGTTTGGCTTTGTTTTGCATGGAAATTTTGTCAATAAAAGTGATAAATTTTTTTACCATTGTATCTAGATATTTACCAATTGCCAAAATAATAATAATAATAATAATAAATAACTGGAAAATTTTTTTACACCAAAACATTAAGAACTTATTTTCCTAAAAAATGTGGAAAATGAGAAAAGGTGGAAAAATTTTTCCGGGGAAAATTTTGCCTATCAAACACTACAAAAATTGAAAAATGGTAATTTTTCCATGGAAAAGATGACGAATCAAACACAGCCTAAGCCTTTTTGCTCAATAAATTTGTGGTTAGCTACATAAATTCTTTTCCACCTAGTGTTCATTATTAGATCTACTAGAAGATCAAAAGGAATAAGATCTTCAGTAATTATTGCAGACTGAATTTGGGTCTACAACTTCCTATATTTGACTTGCTCTATTGAGATCGTTCTACTGTTATGAAATACTCTCGAGGTCTATGCAAACTGTGCCTTAACAACCTCGTCAATTGGTGCACTTCTTCTTGTTGGCATTATATTATCATTTCTTTTGTTAACCATTTTAATATGACCAACCAATGAACATCCATGTTAGCATCTAACGTTCTTGTATGATGAACTTATTATAATCAATTTTGTCCTTCTACATTTTGAAACCATAAAGCACAGTAGGTCTAACACTAATGTGTAGAATTGGTCATTTAACCTTATAAGGATCTTCCTTATTACTTAGAATTGCGATACAACTTTTCCATCTCATCCAAGGACAGGAAAAGGATGAGGGTTGCATTAGGTTGAGAGCTACTATGAACTTTTATCAAATTTTATGATATGACCAAATACACAAGCCCAAATATACATACTCAAAAAGGTGCTACTACTGGTTAGTAAAATAAAGAAAGTTGGTAGAATTTTATAGCTCTACAAAATTAGAGTAGATATTCTATCTAGGTGCATTAGAGTGGATTAAGGTGTATAGTTTTTTGTTCAAAGGAATATTATTGAACTTTCTTTCTTAAGCTAACTGGATGGCATAATACGGAGTGAAGAGGTCAGATTATACGGGATAAGGAAGATAGTGCAAATAACATTTTTGATTGTGTTTTACTAAATATTATTGACCCTAGTACTATACCATCTCTTTTAATTTTATGCATAATTTCTTGTACGGTCTAATGTGGTGTGCCAAACATAGCCTTCTTAGAGCAGCTAGGAAACTTTGGGATTGTGTTTATGTATGCTAATAACAAGAAAATTAGAGGATGGTAAATTTTAGTCCATTTCTTCTAAATAATGTTTAACAAAAAAACAAATACATACAAGAATGCACATATGTTTAAACACTCGTATGACGTTACACACAAGTTTAGGAATAATACTTCTGGGTAAGATAAATAAAGCAAAATAATTACAATCATCAAAACATGATTCTTAACAATTTTATATTTAAACATAATAAAAATATTTGTCTATTTGAATTTTTCACTCCAATATACCAATAAATTAGGTTTTCTTGAAAACTAGAGATGGATAGTTGATTGTTTTGATTGTTATCCCATCATAGTCAATTGTAATCAAAAGTACCCATGTTTCTTTTCTATAATGTATATTTGCATTTGTAGTTATCTGTTAGTCTAAAGGACAATCAGGACATTGAACATTTCTCTCCACTTCTGTGGATATTTAGTGCACTTCTTGGTTTTATTGTCGGTCAAAGGCCATGATGCATGAACACTCGTACGCTCCTCGGACACATGTCGAACGCGTATGTGGCGGGTCCTATTTTTTTGTATATTTTTTAAATTTCCAACCCTTGAGGACACTCTCGGGACCTTGAGCATGCATCTGTGGGGCATGTGTCTAATATGCCATGTGGATTGAAGACCAAAGCAGGGCTCTTGTTGACAAAGGTCTAAAAAGGCAAATTCACGCATGTGAAGGTAACCACCATATTAGTAGTAGAAAGACTTATCGGACCTATGAAAGTGTCGTTTTTTACTAAATTAAGAAAGACGGGCTTTGTTGTGACGAGGATGCTTTTTTTAATCGGCCAACGTCAAGACCTACAACAAAGTCCTAACAAGAGTACCCAACTTGTTTGATGACATGTGAGGGGAAATAGGAGTTTGAGGTGATAGGATTTACCGCTATTGCCCTATGGTAGTGATGGTTGGCTTCGAGTGCCTTTTGCGCTTAGCGTCGGAAAGAGGTGCTTCTACAACAAAGGTGCTAAAACCTAAAACTAGG